TCTGCACTTGCGTTGTTTAATGCGCTTAATAGTTAAGCCACTGACTATATCAGAAGACTGCAATCAGAATTCTGTAATTTATAGCGCTATCCTAACCATTTGTTTAAAGATGTAGTACGAAACCATCAACTCCAATAACAATTCATACCGGTAACGATAATCTTTATTCGTTGGAAAATCCTAGCAGAAAAAAAGTTGAAGTATTTTCTGCTGTAAGTTGCTGTTCGAATTCTGAAGAGAAATTTATAGACATGAAGTGATGTTATTTTTTCTATTTCTTTTTCCACATTACGTTTCCTCAAATGGGAACAGAAGACCGCAATTTATAAGTAGCTCACTGTTTTAACATATGAATTTACCAGATTAATTAGTCAAGACTCGGGAGACGATCACATCTAAAAGTTTCACTAATCTTCATTATTGTGAAGACCATAAAAATTGTTTTTCACTAAAATAAAGAAGAATTTAAACGTAAAACGAGTAAATAGGAGATTGAGACGACCTCATACGACCTAGAAAACTTACAAAATTGAAATGAAAAAGAAACTCCACGTTGATCAAGCTCGAACCCAGAACAAAGACTAGTAGTGTTCGATGTGTTATCCATTCAGATGTTGACATCACACTTCTAAACTGAAAAAAATAATTAAAACCATCGCAGATTTGGATATTGAAAATAAGGATATCAATTAAAAATAAGCTAAAAACAGAGACGGTAAGAAAAAATTATGAAATTAACAAATTAAAGAAGAAAATTGAGATACCATAAATAAAGAAAGGGGAAAAAATTATAGACACTTGAGAAAAATAAAAATTTATAGAGAAGCAAACAAGAAAAATGGATGGAGAGTATGCTGTATATAAAGAAATAAATGAAGTCAGTTCAAGGGAAATGTGATCAAGCCCATAAAATTCTAAGAAAGATTAAGAATAGTGTAATTAAAAATAAGAAAGATAATATCTAATAAACGATAATGACATTAAATCGCGTAGAAAGAATACCAGAAGACTTTTATGAAGAACAGAACTTGAATGAAAATGTTTGAGAATCTGAAGAATTTCTCGATTAACAGGAACAGGGCATTGACGTGTTTAATGACATAATGATAAGAAAATGATATTAGGCCTACCTGCCAAACTTTTCAAGAATCTTATAAAAAGGCCAAATTTCAGTTATTTAACCAAATTAACATGAAATACGAGTTTTTTAATACAGAAAAACTTAATACAGTAAGTGCTGCTTATTGTGATTACGGATAATATTATAGTTGTGTAATATCAGAATTAACATGTCATAAAATATATAAATTAAACATTACAAAACTTTCGCTATTGTAATCAAATATTTGATTATATTAATAATTATGTTTTTTTTTCCATTTTTAACTCCGTCCTGAGGGCATTAAGATTTTTTATAACCATCGTGGGTCTCCCCATGAGGAGTCCGATAATATATGTAGCACTAACTGAAAATTTCCTGAGGATTCGGGATCGAACCGGGAAAGGACCTTTTCATCACTCGGTAGCACCAATTGTGGGCAGAGTGCCATTGGGGCCTGCTGAGCCCGCAACGGATGTAAAAAAAGACCGTCTTACTGCCCAGAGCGAAAAAAAACAAACAAAAATTTAATGCATTAATTAAATTAATTAATTAAGAAGCCAGAACCTTGTAATAAAGTGCAACCGATGAAAACGAGAGAACATTGCAAAACGATGCAAAACAAGAGAGCATTAGTTATAGACATTATCACTAAGAGATAAGTTCTGATTCGAGTCAGCTGAATTGTAGATAAAGACAAATGACCAAAAATTATTGCTGAATATTTACCAAGGAATATCTACAATCAGGGGCGCCCGTACATTGGGGTACTTCCCCCTTTTCGTCTCGGTTGCACTTTTCCTAATCCCCAAACAACAGACAATTCGTGACCTCTAGCTTATTCTGCAAATAAAAAGAAACTAATGAACGATATTTGTCCATTGACCCATGCAACTTCGTCGTATGTTGACCAAAATTCCATTCCTTGTTTTTAAGATCAAGTTAGCCCGAGTGCAACCGACGTTGAATCGTAGTTTGAAACTCCTTGCGTAATGTACGATGCCATTTTTTATAGCTTGTACCCCTCTTCATAGTCTGCGGACGCCGATGTCTACAGGGCAAACGAAATCTTCCTTACTTTTAACAGCATTTTACTTTCGTGCATTGTCTGATCATACTTCAGCCCAGGGTTGTATAAAACAGTTTTGGCAGCTGTGACAAACTTCTACTGGCACTCTTGATTCAAAGTTAACTACATAAAATACCGTATACAATTAAACATTATTTAGGTAGCTTTCAAACAGATTAAACCTCATAAATGTCTAGAAATACAATAAACCCCAATAAATTTCTTGACAATAGAAAAATTATAAATAACGAGTAATTATAATTTTAATAAATGATTTTCTTCGATATCGGAAGTCTTTACGATACTGCCCATTATATTACTGCAGTCGATAAGTTACTAAAGACAATAGAGTATACAACAGAACGATCCAATTCCCAGGTCTTGAAGATCTTCAGTGGCTCCAATCTATCCACCTTTTTCTGGGACGGCCTCTTCCCTTTTCCCTCATAGTGGAGCCCTCGTGATGCTGTTGCCATTGTAGGTAGCCTTACGACATGGCCTAGCCACTGTAATCTTCTGGCTGTGTGATCATGGGCTTGTCATAGGTTGTCTGCAGTTCCTGGTTTGTTCTTTTCCTCCATATTAGTTCTCCATTGACCACGACTGAAGTCTAAATGTTTCAGATTAAAAATATCATAAAAAGTTAAAAATTCTGCGATATTCATTAAAATTTCAAATGTTAATTTGAGGTTGGGCTGGGGCTACTAGTGTGTCACAGCCTTAAGTTCTGTCGCCTGAGGTGGTTGCCTCTTTACTTCACCTATCAGCACGACCTACTTAGGTCTGCATGTTTAAACGTAAAAGTGCCAAAGGATCTAAATCACTGAGAAAAAAAAAACATATTGCAGTTCTTTGCTATGCAAAGGAGAGAAAAAAATAACTTTTAGTGATTGAAAAAATAAACATTCTAGATATAAAATATATACCGGTAAATATATTGAAGCTACAGTACAAAGTACCATCGGCCAAATTTTAAATTAATATTCTAGATGTTTTAAGGGTATGAAATATTTACTAATGGATTACTATTCAAGTGCAAATGCTTGAATGATCACTCAGTTATTGTTATCAGTATACAGTAGTCCCAAAATGATTACAATAAGCGGCATCTACTGTAATAAAAATGCCAAAAACAAAGATGCAAGAAAACATGTAGCATCCATCACATCAGTCACAACCACCAGCTTGACATCACATGCTTCTAAAATCCTAATAGAAATAATTACAAAAAGAAATGAAAATTTATCTGGTTAATGTTAGCTTTACTGTAGTCTTTACTGTTAACTTCCTAAGAAAGTAATAATCAAAGTAAAAGAACGTTGCAAACACCCATTATATAATGATCATCATAGAGCTCAATAAAGACAGAATAAGTGGAATAAGTTTTAGGTATGAGATCAAGTCAGATGGAAGAAACAAACAAATAAGAATGACAAAGCAATGATTCCTTGGACAAAGTAATTTCTCATATACTGTAATAAATTATACATGAGATTTCAAATAAGAAAGTTATCAAGAGTAATATTTAGAAAGGAAGATAAGAAAAAATTTAAATCTATTAATATAAATAGAAAGGTGAGAACTGTTTCAGATTAATTCTATAGGCAGTTTTAATGAGCTCAGAGAAAGTCAGTGGAAGAAAACAATATGAAAATCTTTTAAAGAAAAACAGAGATTAATTAAATATATAGAGATATGAAGGCATATTACAAGTAATTACTGAAGGAAGGATTAAAAGATGCAAGATTTTCATACATAATTATGCAATACAACAATTGAATTTAATGTATAATTTGGATATTATATAAATTATCATTTTCAATTCAACAAAACATGAAATATTCTCTTATTTTTTCATGCTACTTTTCATAATTGTGTTAGAAAAATTTCTAATAATCATTTTCAAGTCTTTCTTATTCCTTTACAAATGAAAGACAAGAGAACAGACAATTTAGCTTTCACATCTTCCATCAATAGTACAGAATAATAATAATATCTTTCTAAAAAATACATAATTTATAAATTTACCTGTCTTGAAAACCTCTGATAAATATATGAGCTTTTATATTATTTCTTATACTTATGAAATTTTTACCTCCTTCCAACATAATTCAGTCATTATAATTATGTTCTACAAACAAAATGCTACAAAATATCTATTTACCCATCATTTAGCCTAATATCAAGATTCTACAGGATATAAAAGTTTTTATTAGGTTATTCACTAATGTAAAAGTAACTCATGAAATGAAAGATGTAAATGCATGTAAAGAAGCAAATGTAAAAGTAACAAGCATTTATTTATTGTGACATCATAACAATGTCAGGCTGCAATTTTTAATTTATTCAATTTAAAATATATGCTCTCCATTTTAAATTACTAGTAGTGGCTTGCCCCTGTACATCATACTTTTCCTTTAATAATAGAGTCATGCCAGTCATCTATTAACTGCTTTCAGGGGTAAGGTTTTGAATTGAAATAACATAACTTCCAGTTTGCATCAGAAGTTCTTATATAGCTAATCGTGGCTTCCTGACCCTAAGTTTTCTATATTTGGTCTCAGATTTTACCTACCTATCTCCATTCTCAAGATTAAGGAAAAACAGATGGTTGACAATAGTGGGAGTTTATAGGTCTACAATTTTTTTCAAATTGCAGCCCAATCAGACATTTCTGTAATGGTAAGAAAACAATAGTTGAGACAATAAGGAAGCATAAAACAACTAAAATAGATTATAAGTTTGTGTTATTTTTTTATTAATGAAATTGTAATCATCAATAGAAGAAATGATTGATTGGGGAAGTGAAGATGAGTGATGGCATCTATTGTTCTACTGGAGGTGGCGATGATTGAATAGCTGCTGATGACGATGAAGGCATAATTGGAGGAGGGATTTTGGAGAAAAACACTTCTCAAGTGGAACAACATTATTTACTCCTGAGCCTGAGGATGAACATGATAATTGTTTTGTTTTTAGAGAAGATAAAGACTCTGATAGTTTTCTCTTTTTTGTAGCTTGAATGCCAGAAGTTGAAGGCTTTGATATATCATCTTTAAAAGACCTCACTGATTTTGGATTAAAACAAGTTGAAATAGGCACTTGCTTACAGGCTTGAACCTTACACCTATATAGTTTCCTATAGCATTCACATGCATTCATGATGGCATTCTTAAATGTTATGCTTCTTGTCATATCACGATCACACTCAACAGCAATATTAGTCAATTTATCTGCTGTATCCAAAAGTTCTTTTAAAGATCTGTCATCCAAAATTTTTTCTTTACTTTTCATTTCTTCTTCATCCTCCTTCTCATCTTGGTCTTCAGACTTAAAATGTCTTTGCAGCTCAATCATTTCATCAAGTGTAAGTTCCTCAGAGTGAGATGATAATAATTCATCTATATCTCCCACTTCAACTTCTTCCATGCCAGCCATTTTAGCCAGAGCAACAATATTTGTTTTTATTTCAACAACCTCATCAATGTCTAAGTTGGCTACATATTGTGGAAGAAGTTTCTTCCAAATTGCATTCATTGTTTCTTTAGAAATATTTTTTACTGCTTGATCAATAAATTCAATACAGTCCTTTATATTGAATTTCTTCCATAAGTCACTTATGGAAATATTTTCATCTTCAACGGAGGAATAAGTAAGATATTGCATAAGGAGCTGTAAGTAATGTGATTTGAAAGCACGGATACCGCCCTGATCCATGGGTTGTAAAAGAGGTGTTGAATTGAGAGGGAGAAATACAACTTGAATGTTATCACATAGATTACCGATATCTGAAGAATGGGCTGGAGCATTGTCTATTATTAGGAGAGCCTTATTGGCAAGATTTCTTTCCTCAGTATAATTCTTGATAAATGGTGACATATAACCATGTATATATTCATTGAATAAATCCTGTGTCACCCATGCTTTCTGATTTGACCTCCACATCACTGGTAATGAACTCTTGGCTATCCTCTTAAGAGCTCTAGGTGTTTCTGAATGGTACACAAGAAGAGGCTTTAGCTTTATATCACCTGCACAGTTTCCACCTAGCAATAATGTAAGTCTATCCATAGAGGCTTTATACCCCTTACTCCTGGCATCTTCTTTCGAGATGGAGGTACAAGATGGCATTCGCTTCCAGAAGAGACCCGTCTCATCAATATTAAATATTTGATGTGGAGTATAGCCACCTTTGTCAATAATTTTTTTCAATTCTTTAGGAAATGCCGAAGCTGCATCGGTAGAATCCGATGCAACTTCTCTATACAATTTTAAGTTCTTTATTTGTGATCGAGTACAGAATCGGTCAAACCATCCAGAACTTGCTTTAAATTCAATATCTTTCACTGTAGTATCCCCCTCTGCAGTCTTTTTTTCCTTCAGTTCACTAAACAATTGAATGGCCCTCTCTTTTATGAGGGACGAACTTAGTGGTAATCCAAGATAATCATGGGTATCGATCCACTGAACCAAAAACTTCTCAAACTCAATAAATATTGAATGTCGAGACTTTGTTAGCCGATGCAACTTGCCAGCACCAATGGCACTCTCGTATTGTTTTTTAATCTGCTCACTCATCTTAAGAATGGTGCATACGGTAGACGATTTCATGTTCATGGCCAAGCATATGTTCTTTGTTCTTTCTCCTCTTTCCCATTTCCTAATAACTTCCATTTTCTCTTCTATTGTGTAAACTTTTCGTGTCTTCTTGATATTTTCCACAGGCTTATGTATTTTTCTTCGATTCATAACGAAGGGTAGATTTTCAATACAGAAGTAAAATTCACAAATTGCACAATCGCATTAAAACGATGACACAATGTGAACGAAACAATGAAATGGATTGCAACATATGAGCTATCTAAACTAAGCATGGAATTTCAATCTCATTTCACTCGTGATTCTCGTAAATATCGGTCGAGGCCGGTTTTATCAAATATTTTGTCTTGCAAATGGGAAAAGCACATAAAAGAAAACAGCTCGTTCTATGAAATTCTCGTAGATCGAACACTCGTAAACAGAAGCCACGTTGTAAAACGTATAACATACACTTGCGCCCTCTCGCGTTAAGAATCATTATTAATTATTTCACAATTTTATTCATATTTTCTATAATATTTATAAACTGTTAATATATTAATATTAATAATTGTGTAAATTATGAACGCTGAATATCAAAAGAAATTTTAATAATTTAGATGAATTTTATAATTTAAAAATTATACGTAACAAGTAAAACTATGGGTGCATATACTTTTCGTTTTGTATAGATCGATCTGTAAAATCGGATCAGTCCTTGTCACGTGATACAGATAGCTTCTGTCATGGCTACAGTGGCTAGAAAATATAGTGTCGAAATCGAGCTTATTTTCTGTCCCTATATTGGAGGTTGCCGCAAGAGGCGCTGCTGTCAATCGTTGTGCTACACTGGCTGTATCATCCTATGTTTATATTGGTTTTAAGTGGGATTTTTAAGCATAGTAAATGTGCTGTAGCCAAGTAAAAGAATTTAGATCGATAATAAATCATATCACTAGCAATCAATTATTATATAGTATTACTTTNCCATCGCTGAGAAATGTTTATTTAATAAAACACTAACATTTTCAGCCTCATGGAATAAACCATCCTCGGGTGTAAATGACTTCGAACGTACTTTTTTAAATAAACATTTCTCAGCGATGGAAGGTGTTTAATGTTTTATTAAGTGTTTAAAAAACGCTGAGTTTGATATTTAAGTAAATAAATGACAAGGAACAAAACTGACATACCGTAATAATACAATTATTAAATTGTGCTATTATGTCAATTTATTATAGGCCTACATACAAACAAATTATATTATACATAATAATAATAACAATTATTATTATTTGCGCTATTAAAATTTACTTTAAGTGAAAAATTTTTCTATGTTTTTTACTTTCAACTGATGAAATAAATGATTGATAAATCGTTCACGTGAAAAAATGCAATCGACAGGTAACAAAAAAGTGCAAAAATCTGGAGGTCAAGTAGGACTTGTGACCAGCATTGACGCATCCTATCATCAATGTAACAGAACACTGATTTAATATAATATCCATTATTGAAAAATAAACATCCATGTTTGAGTTTGTTAATTTTTCACATACTTTGCTTTCTGCCCAGTACATCAATTGGCGAAGCTTATAGCTTGGATATAACAAACCTCCTCGAGATTTGATGAATGTAAATGTCTTCTCTGGTGCAGCATCTTCAGGTTTTGCTGTTAATATATTTTTGCATTCATCAAAACTGAGTGATGGTAGTAGATGATAAACAATGTAATCTCCTAAATAATGTAGAATAAACTTAAATGTTTCTGGTGCACAATAACCGTGATCTAATAATTCAATATCACTAGTATCTCCATAGGACAGGCTTGGATTAGAAAGCAAATTTTATAAATGTTCTTCCAGTTGTTCTTGAACTTCCTTAAATGGTTTTTTGTGACTATGAAGAAGATTTTTTAAAGTAATAAGGGAAGATCCAGGATCAGTTTGAACTGATGCTCGTTTGGGAGGACGAACCAAACTGTACACAGTCATCAGTCTGTACAGGTACAAGAACTGCACTGTTGTGGGATGAGAATTGCTTCTACTTCCTTGTCTTATCATTCCAAAGAAACGCTAATTGAAAACATAAGTTAAGAGTTTAATACAAGATTATATAATCATTACACTAAGTCAGTTTTGATTGATAAAAAAAATATCAGACGATTAAACTTAAAGTATTTACAAGAAACGGTGAGCCACGGAGAGATAGCCCACAGTGAATCACAGTGGGTCTCACAAACCCAGCTCAATCTTTAGTTAACATTTTTTTAAATATAAAAATACTGAAAAAATTTATATTCTTCCAACTTTTCAGTCCGATCAACATGCGGTCAGAACGTTTTTTTATTTGACTTTACTTGGACTAGATGTCATATCAAAAGCTTCCAGTCGAAAAATTTACCGTGGAAACTCATTATTTCTATATATTGCGTAATAGCGGGAAATAATTAAACCAAAAGTATTTTAGTTTTGCGGGCAATTTTACCTCGAAATGTTTCTATCAAAATACTTATTCGTTTAAATAACGTCAACAAATATGTAAATTAGAGCTAAATTGGAGCTGTAAAAGGACGAAAATAGCGATTATCTAACATTTGTTTACAGTTTTACCTTGATTTACGTAGAGGGAACGATTTTCTTATTGTAGAATTGTCCACCAGAATTGTCTGGTGGAAAATGCGAATTTTCCACCAGACAATTCTGAGAAAATGTTTACTCGTTCAAACAGAATCAAACAACTAGAAGTTAGCTAATTAGACCCTAAACGTTATGGAATAATGTAAATAAAAGAATGATAGCTACGTGACAATCGTGTCGCGTAGCTATCAAATTATATAAAAATAAACATTAAAAACGCAATTTTGTCATCAATACAGCAAGAAAGAAAGAGAGAAAACAAAGCGCAGAATTTAACGGTGAAATTATAGTTTTTTACGCGACAGATAAAATTTAATAATTTTATATTAAAACACAGGGTCCGAGAGACCCACTGCGACTCAGCAAGGGCAAAAATTTACATGGCTCACTAAGGATTAAGATTACATAAAAAACACATAAATATTTACCTCTGATATTGTCTTTTCGGGATCTCTTCCTAGATGGTTCATTATTTCTTGTGAGACATCGCGTTGATCGTTTTTGAGGTACAGACTTATTAATGTACTTAGGACAATTAGGGAAGTTTGATGGATATGCATCCGACGTTAATGCCCAGCGATCTCGTGGAATTTCTACTTTCTCTCCATTTATAACATGGGAGAAGGTTTTTAAAATAAATCTACTCGCAAAATGTACGTCACAAACGTAACATTTACTTGTTAGCATCTTGTCGTCTCGTGGAATGTATCGCATCCACTCCTCAATGTTATTGCTAGGAACACGGAAAAAATGTCTCTTCTCGTTCGATGACTTATATCCTGCCTTGCATCCTGGCAGAAAGCACGTTAGTATTTTTATGTAACTAAAACACAATTATTATAAGTCGAAATCACCGACTTCAGTATATACCTAGCAAGAACCAAGGTCTTAGATTGCAAGAACAACGCTCTTCGCCAACTAGGGGCAAATATTGTCTCTAGCTAAGTTGAACTATTAGTCGAAAGACCAGTTAATCTACCGACTCTGGTATATCTCAAAGGACGCGACAGGGCTGTTGTAGATTTTAAACGTTTCTCACCATAGATGTAAAAATCTAAATATGTTAAACTTAATAGTCATTTGTTTTCTAACTAATTCGTTTTCGGACCAAGTGTCCTCAGAAATTTACAAAATTTACAACTTTTCGGTCACTCTCATTGAACTGGAAAAATTTCTGTCTTTATTACATTTAATATTATGATGAAATCAGGGTCATGTTCAGTAACGCAGGACACCTAAGTTAGAATTCTGAGTGGCTTAGTGGGCGGAGCTAAGAATACATAAAAGAAGCTAGCGGTGGGAGGAGTCAAGCAGTAGTTAGAAACGAGTTCAGCATTGCAGCATAACTAGACTTAGCAAGAATTCTGCGTTACTGAACACGGCCCAGTTCACGCTATACTCGGTTAAGCTTTTAAGTAAAACTTCGGCTCTTTTATCAGGGTTTTGTTTATGTCCCCAATTCCCTAATCCTTAATCATTTAACTACTTCTTAAGTAGAAATAACCAGTTACTTTGTACTTGAATATTTGTAGTCTCGGGAAAAAAGTGGAAAGACAAATTTTTATGACAAACGGATACATAAATCGTAAATTTAAGGAAAATAAATTATACAGCTTTTTCTGTACCTGGTGCATCTCCCTCATTCATTAAATTTAGTTGTAAATGACGCTACCAAAGTAACAGTTAATTTTTTAACATTGTACAAGAATTGTACACGTTTTTTCTACATTCCCTTATAGATGGGACATACGAAATCGTAATATCAGTGGTTTAACATTGAAATCCGTGAGTAATATAAAATCGGAGAGCGGAATAAAAATATCAAATATTTTAATGGATTTTTTTAAAACTCCTGTCAACTATACAGAACTATCATAAAAACGTACAGGTAAATTCTTATCGGTTGGGTTAAGTTATAAATCTACTCGTAATTCGCGTAATAGGGCGAGGGCGGCCAAATATCTAGCGGGCGGGCGGCTAACAGCCCGGAACCGGTCCTGGATAGAATTGGATGCGTATATGTATAGCATCCACCCGAAATTCTAGGCTTCCACCGGCTAAACCGGGTGAGGTTGGTGTTCCATAAAGCGCGTGCGCGAATCTGGCTTTTTGGATGCTGACGATACAGCGCTTCCACTCCGCCACTAATATTCTAATATACAATAGCGATCTTATCTTTTTTTTCACGTGTAGTATAGAAATTTGTAATAAGATACATAATGCGGTTATAATAAAATATAATACGTATTTATTTTTTAGAAAATATAAGGGAAGCGGCGCATCCACCGCTTCCAATGACTGCACACCACTGGTTTACTATTACTTAATTACTTAACGATGCATTTATACGGTACAGTATGTAAGGAACTGCCGTACGTATTAAATACAATAACTTATGCAGAGCATTTTCGAAATTCCAGATAAACGTTTCAAGATTTTAGGATATTGATGCTAAGCAAGAGATAGAATATTCACTTCTTTAATAATTTGCATTTATTGAAAAAATGTAAAATAGAAGACAAGAAAACAATGATTTCTTTTTTCTCTGACTCTTTCTGCCCCGTGGGCTCTAAGCAGACATTTTATCAAGCCAGTTATGGTCCATAAAGGTGAGGAATAAAGACCGACAAATTCGGGACAGACCTTCACAAAAAAATTCCTGGGGTTGCTCTTCCGGATTCGATTCCGACCGGAATCGAATCCCCATAGCGATAGAAAACGCTCGGATATCCGGCCGTATAATAGAAAACAATGATTTACAAAAATAATAGATATTGTTATTTTAAGAATTGTTTAATTACCCAAATTTTAACTAATTTAAAACAATCTAACAATAATACTTAATAAACAATAACTTTATTGCTAACAAAATTGAATTTGAAGAAAAACATAACAGCTTTCATGAAAATGTCCTGGTATTATCGTTTTGTAGATTATGTTTTGGGAAATAGTATCTTTTTTTTATTCCAAATTGCAGAAAATCAAACCCAAATCTCTCGAGTGGCTTGGTTTACAGCGTTTCTGTTATTTTTAATTATCTGGTGTGTAAATGGAATCTCTCAACAGATATTGGGTTTATGTTTCGTCGTCACATATACCGCCTTTCAAACACTAAATCAAGTAAGAAAGGCCAGTTACACCTCTGTCGGCACCGATCATAGAAAGATATTAACATATTGGATAGTTTTCTCTCTTTTCGTATTTTTGGAAGAAGGATCTCGTATAAAATTTTTACTTTTATACGTACCATATTACAATTATATAAAATATTTCCTATTGATCTGGTCATATTTTGATCCTTCCGGTTTTTTTACTCATTATACTTGGAAGAATTTGTTTACTCCACTTCTTCAATATGTCAATGATACAGAAGAATTTTCGAAACTAGAAATATACGACGCAAATGATAAAGAAAGAGAGGAAGAATTATTACTAAAAAATACTGAAATGAACGAGAGTGAAAAACGAAGTTTAGTTAAAGAAACAGTAACATTTAATTTTGATGAAGCAGGCAAATCAGTCGAAGATGAAGATGTCAAAATGGACGAAGAAAAACAATTCTCACAAATATATGATACAAGCAAATGGCAAGAAAAATCATCAGAAGAGCAGTTTTTGCCATCAGATGATAAGGTACCATCCGAGGAATATGAAATCATAGAAGACGTATATCTAATATCTGAGGAACCATCAATGCCGAAAGATCAAGAAACCTCACACAAAGAACTGATGACACGTAAGGTATCTGAGGAATACAATGCTTTAGAAGATGTATATTTAACGTCCGAGGTATCATCAACGAAGAAAAATCAAGAAACACTAGAAGAAGAATTTGTGCCACGTAAGGAATACGTCCTATCAGAAAAAAAGGTAACACCCGAAGGACATGTGACACCAGAAAACGGAATAGTGACACCCGAGATAAGTGTAACATCATCAGATGAACACGATACGCAAGTGTCGGAGTTGAAAATGGAAAGTACGAAAAATACTGAACTTGTAGAGTCTACCGAAGAACATCCCTACTTCGAAGAAACGGAAGAGGAAGCTTATAAATCTGACATTCACGAAGAAGAATCGGATAAACAATGGCCGGTTTGATTTACATCTACTAATCATTTCAAGAACGATTTAAAATTATGTATATATATTTTTTTACAAAATTTCTTTCGAATAAATAAAATATTTGAACTAGTTTAATATATTATGATAAAAATAATTTTACATTAAAAATCTAAAATACCCGCGAGGAGGCGATATACCTTTGATTGGTCGTCGGCCATTAACGTTGTTGATCAGCGTTGGTCTTCTTTGTTGGCTCGGAATTACGTCAGTTTGCAACAGAATGACCGGATTACCGAGGAGAATTATCAAAGTAAGATGGCAAACGACTTTAACGTAAATTTACACGCGATAATACGGTAATTTTTTTAAAAACACAGTTAATGATAGGTGTATGCCGCATGATTTAAGCCTAATTCGTAACCAACAGGAAATAACCGTGTACGATAGGAAAAATTATAATAGTCATTCGGTCTCGTTTGCTCTCCAGAATCTCATTTCGTACTATAAATTAAACGAGATCCGACTACAGATTCTACACTCTTAACAAAGCGTCATAATCCCGAGCTTTTATTCATCGACCCAAAGGAAAAATCACATATTCCGAATATTACACACGTTTTAACCTCTAACTTAATTTAGTACAAATCAAATTAGAGAAAACTCCATTAATTAAATGTAATTTAAGTGTACTTTAACAGTTTCCAATTAGTTATAAAATAAATTTTTAATACTTGCTTTAAAACACTTGCATATAAATTTAGAATTTTAGTTGTTTGTGTAAAAATTACACGAACAATTAAAACTGGACAAAAATAATTGAAGAATGTAAGCGTAAAGGTTTACATTCTTCAGTTATTTTTCTGACAAAAGAATTGTTTTGATATAATTAAAAATGCAAAATTTAATTACCGAATCCGGTAATTTTAAATGCCTGTTATGAAACGGATTTATTTGCCACAATACATTTTTAGCGTAAAATTGATCTGAAATATAATTTTTCATGGGTCATTAATTATTAATTTTAATTTCTAAAACTTGGCAAGCTGATATGTTCGTTTAAAAAACTGAAAAATTGGCAGTGGTATTTTAGCATTTTATATGTACACACGCATACACAAGAAATATAAATGAGCTTTTTATTACTGGTACAAATTATTGTAAAATCCCATAAAAAGCTGGTGAAACCAGGTCGTAAAAGTAAGCTTGGCAAAAATATCTAAATGAAGGAAACTTTTGAAAGTTGTGGCATAAGAATAGTTTAAGCAGGTTTGACAGTAAGACTCAATGTGTGAATAAAGCATCTCTACAGGAAGTTTTGGATGATGCAATGTTGTTATGAAGATAAATCGGAAAGATAAACATTGTCACAGAAAAAGGCTTCCAGCTTTACTTTGTACCTAAAACTTTCTTCGCTGATACTGCTCGAAGATGTTAACGTTTGGCCAAATTAATGTAGGTTCAACGACTTTAATGCACAAAGTAAAGCGCGAAGTCTTTTTCTGTGACGATGTTTATTTTTCTGATTTATCATCATGATGATGCTTCATCCAAAACTTCTTGCAGTTCTGGTTTATGTAATGTGCACTTTATTCACATGTTGAGTCTTACTGTCAAATCTGCTTACACTATTCTTATGCCAAAAGTTTCCTTCGTTTAGATATTTTTGCTGAGCTCTACCTTTTCAACCTGGTTTCACCAGTTTTTTAATGAGTTTGCAAGGATTTTTCAGTCATCAATAACTTTGTAAGTGAATAGTTTTCATGGTAACCCATCAGATTAATATAAATCTGATGGGTCATGTGATAGCCTGCAGATTTTTCTCAGTGTCAGAATAAGTATGAAAAATCTGGTGCAGATCAGGTAAAGAGTTTTATAAGGGAGTGAAATCACAGTGGAAGTATTAATTAATGGATTGAAAGTAATTGCAATGAAATCTTAATATTTAAAAAATGGGCTATAATATTATAAGTACTTAATATTTTTAATAGAACCTTCAAAAGGACCACAAAAGAGGTGATCATCTCTCTCGAGAGCTATTAAGCATATGTAGACTCTAGATTTTCTGGTAGCTTGGTGTCACTAAAATCTCTCACATAAATCTAGTGGAAAAAATGCTGAATTTGGTATTGTGTAAGTCCAGAACAATCCAATGAATTTTTTCAAAATTGAAGACTTCCATAGTTCTCATTACAAACACTGAATATTTTAAATTTCTTTCAAATTGATTCATTAGTGTTGGAGATATTAACAATTAAATTTGGTACTTTAACATTATATGTGTGGCTGATATGAGCTCTGATATTTTAACAGAATAAAATGATAATTTCTACAAATTTTATATTTATTATGGACTAGTGAATTTTTTCAAAACTAGAAAAAATTTTATCATATACCAACTTAAATTATCTAATGCAGTAAAACATTCTTTACTCAAATGTTTTCAATTGTCTTAAATGATCATCATTGAGAAAAATTACATTCTACAATAATGAACTAAACAGTTTTTCTAGAATTACAGAACAGTAATTCAAATACAGTATATTCTAGAAAGATGATTCTATCATTCAAGATGATTGAAAACATTTGAATAAAGTTTTACTGCATTAGATGGTTTTAGAGTTGGTATTTGTACTAGTATAGTTCATTTTATCATAACATGAAATAAAGTAAATCTGTTAAATTTTATTTCACATATATAAATTATCATCAATAGAGCATTTTTTACTGTTTTTATTCTAACTTTTCTTTAACTTTCACAAATAACTTATAGACTACACAATAAAGGCATGACTGTCTTTATATTTCGCTTGCTGTTTTACTCTACAGTAATTTATATAATTGATTTTATAGATGACATTTTGCTTCTGTGTTTTACTTAATTGCAAATGAATTTTACTGTAAATCAGATTTACAATTGTCCATTAATCATTATTTGGATTTAATAATAATAATTCAGAGTGAGAATTCATGACATATATGTTTTATTAAATATCAGCTTTAAAAAGATTTTAAAATAAAATGAAAATAGATATTTAGAAGTTTTAAAGAAAAATCTATTGAAAAAAATATTTATTATACAAAATATACTTTGAAGATTATAAAGTAAATATTGATTCTAGATTGAACTTTTTAATACATATAATATAGTGGGAAATAAATCATGTTAAAGTGGAAAAACATTTTTTATTGTCATTGTTATTCCAATCAGTGATTTTGTTTGTACTTTGATCTTCATATAAATTCTTAGAAGAAAATAAACTGCAAGCTGATGCCAATGGACTTATTAAAAACATTATAACACAAAGCATTGATGATGTTTTGATCTTGAAGAATTGAATCTTATATAAGTAATAAGAGAAATAAAATTTTTTTAGAATTAATAAACAATATTAAGAAGTAAATTTATGAGAAATAAAGAAAAATAATTTTTTAATTGCACACCATTGCAAAAAGATGCAGTATAATGGTAGAATGTATTATTTGTAAATTTTGAAATATTTTTATCATTTGATATGGAAAGTATCATCTGATAAGTTTTATTAGTTTGTCATTTTGTAATATTTTATAATAATAAGTTTATAATAAATTTTATGCATGCTGATGTAAATTATGTAAAATAGTTAATTGAAAAATTATACATTGAAATTAATACCATCAAATTATTTAGCTATTTTTGATATTGATTTAATAGTTCTTATACAAATTTTATATAGGAAAAAAACTTACCTAAAATATTGTTTATTAATTTAAATTATATTATTAAAACTATCTAATAATTATCTGACAAAGTTTAAATTTGATAATTATTTATTTCAGAAAGATAAATTAAACTTTTTGAATTTGAGTACATTTTAGATCAGGGTCTCCAAAATGGTATCAACTCCCAAGGTTCAAAAAGGCTGTTTTTGGAATCAGTTGAAAGTGGTTCATTATAAAGTTATTAATCAAATGGGTTATTTATATAACAGTTTAGAATGCTGTAAATATGCTCACTAAGTAGATTTTTTGTATGAGAAAGGTTTGTGAATTAATACTGGTTCACTATGTTTATTTACTGTTATTATTATTATTAATACTGTAGTATTAACAAAAAAGAAAGTGCCAATAAAGATCAACAGTCAAAACAATTTGGTGACTCCTACTTTAGATCAAAGATAGAAAAGTTATAATTTTAATGTATGTGTGCATTTCCTGGAAACAAAATGATATATAAAGGTTGAAATTTATAGGAATTGCAGTAAAGATAATCTGAAAACACTTTTTCTGATTTGAACTAGTCTCTATAGTTCATTACAATTTTTTAATATGTAATGTTATCAAAAATAACAAGATTGTGTGACAGCATCATTGACATTATCAAAAAGTAAAAGTAGTGAATACATTTATTACCTTATAAAATTCCAAACACTTTTATAGAAATATAACTATATGTACAAATAATTCTTTTTTATATATTTAGAATAATTTTATTATTATTATTTAGATGCAATGTAATATACTGGTTTGACTATAGTACAATCTTTTTGCTAAACATTCTTTGCCAGAAAATATTTCTGGTCATTTATTTATAACTTTATTTTATCAAGATCTATACATACCATGTAAAAATAATAAATAACCTATATATGAATGTGTCTTCAGATTTAAAATGTTTATGATAAAATTTGAACAAATGCATAACAGTAATAGTTCTGTTATTTTATCTTGAACAGTTTTTATCAAAATTGTTTGAGATCACTTTTTATGCTCATTATAAATTGAAGTTGAATTCAAAGAATTATGATAAACATCAATGTTTCATTATCATTATAGTAGAAGCATAACAAACTATAACAGTATCTTGTCTTATAAACATAAGAAGCAGAGATGCAGTGAAAATATGGTTAATGTGATCCCATATATAGGTATCAATTAATTTAAGTTATCAATATTATTTTATTTATTAAATCAATAATAACTGCATATATTTTCAGAAAATTAACTTAGGCTTTGACTATGCTTACACTTTTTAATATACTTTTAACCACACATTCCCAATTTTGTTACTATACCACTGATAAGCATTTTTTATTTATAAATCTTTGTTTGATTACATCTTAATAAACATCCATCAATATAATTTTTCTTTGCAGTAACTTATGCATTACAAAGGAACCCTACCTAATTACTATTTCAATTTTAAAGCTTCTTTTTTCAATCTTGGATTTGCCTTGATTCATTTTTCTGAACTCTTTTATACTGTTATGATTTACTGAAGTTTAAATCCATTATGAACTCAATAATTTTTTGTTACTATTATTCTTTGCTTTA